ATGTGATTCCCTTTGTGGAGAAAGTGTCATGATGAGGACCGAGAGCTCAGAGCCTGTTCCCTACGGGCTGAGGCTTTGGGCAGGTTCCCTGCTTTCTCAGGCAGGTTGGTTTTGTAGTGGGAAGGCCAGGGGCCTTAAGTAGTAAGTTGAACCCTAGGGTATAGCTCAGTGGTAGAGCACTCACCTAACATGCTGAGGTCCTCGTTTCTATCCCAGCTTTCCTCCCCACCCCGGTCCTCACAGAACTAGTGTGGGGCTGTTAGTGCAGTGCAGACAGCCGCTTCTGGCTGGCGTCCTGAAGAAACAGTTTCTGATTCCAGCTGAGAGGCAGGTAGGAGAGGCTCAGTAATATAGATGCCCAGCGGCCAGCTTCTGGTCTCGGGGTGACGTGGGACTGTGGGAGAAGAGCAGAGCAGCCTAAGCAGGGATTTCCACACCATGTGTCCCTCCTCACAGAGAAGGCCGATTGGGCAGGTGATAAAGACTGCACAGGTGGAGAAACTACAGGCTGTTCTGGGAAACAGACTGAGGTTCAGATGGGGGATGGAGGAAGGTCCTCTGCACAGAAAGCCACAGGAAGTGGAGGCCTGGGGCCTGCTGAGCAGGGCGACTGACTAGTGAGCATGCTCGGCAGGCAGCAGCATGGATTGCTTCCAGTCAGGCTGCTGTGCGGAGACAAGGCCGAGCCCTGGTTCCATCCTCCCTGTGCCCCTGTGTCTGGTCTTCAGCCATTTCCACGTTTGCTGTGTCACGCCCACTGCGAGCAGCTCTAGCAAACACTCATGTGACCTCTGGTTCAAAAGGCTGGGCCTGGTCACCCCTGGGCCCAGTCACCCCCCTGGGCCCGGTCACCCCTCACTTCTCATTTCTGTGGCTTTCCATTTCTTCTTCATCTGAATATTTAATAGCTAGATGTTTTCAGAGAATAACAAATTACAGCAGGCTGAGAAGTTACCAAAATAGGTCCTTTAAGGGCTAAGATGGGTGTGTGTCCCTTTTGAAAACGGCACGCCGCCTTTCCTGGTGTTGGGCTGTTGCTCATGCCTCTTGAAACGCTAGATTATGTCCAAGCAGCCGTACTTGTGTCTCCAGTTCTGTTGCTGACCTTCTGGCTAGCGAGCCCTGCTCCTTCACACATCTAACCTGGAGGATCTTGTAGGACTGCAGAGTTCATGTTTTCTTCTGTCGTCGCCATTTCAAGGAGAAATCCAGTACTCGAGGTTTCGCTGGGGCGTCAGTGTTGGTAATCATGCAAAGCAGGTACTGTTCATTAGTGAACGTGTGACACCTTGGTGCCCTCACTGCCAGGTTTGTGCGCACCGAGCCCCAGGCCTCATGCCGTCCACGGCCGACTTTCTACTTCCCCAAAGCCAAGTGATTTGCCCCACAGAAGGGTTTGTTGTCTGTGGTGTCACGTGGCAGTGAGGCCTCTCCTACCTTCGTTTATGCTCATTGGTGGAATTAAGGCTACCCTCCCCATCCTGCCTCTGGTTGGCCAGTTGCCTTTTCTACAATTAGTGTGAACAGTCTTGTCTGATTCACAGAATTCTGAAAGCCAAGAATATGATAATAGAAATTACTTACTTTGGAAAGTTTTGAGCTCTTCAAAATGTAGCCAATGCTGTTTCTGTGTGGTGTTTACTGTTCTGAATTGTCACTGAAGAGCCAGTGCGTTTAACTTACCTTTTTTAAATAAATAATTTTATTATTTATGTTATGTGCTTGGGTGTCCTGCCTGTTTGTATGTCTGTGCACTTTGTGCAGGCTGGGTACCCCAGGGGGCCGGAAGAGGTCATCAGTTCCCTGGGACTGGAGTTAAAGGTGGTTGTTAGCCGCCACGTGTGTGCTGGGAACTGAACCTGGGTCCTCTGGAAGCAGCCAGTGCTCCTAACCACTGTTTCGTCTCTCCAGCCTCACATTGATTGATTGATTGACTGACTGATTGATTTTTATAGAGCTCTACATTTTTCTCTGCTCCCCTCCGTTTCTTCTCTCCCCTTCAACCCTCTCCCAAAGTCCCCAATGCTCCCAGTTTACTTAGGGGATCTTGTGTTTTTCTACTTCCCATGTAGATTAGATCCATGTATTTCTCTCTTAGACTCCTCATTGTTGTCTGTGTTCTCTGGGATTGTGATTTGTAGGGTAGTTTGCTTTATGTTTAAAAACCACTTATGAGTGAGTACACGTGATAATTGTGTTTCTGGTCTAGGTTACCTCACTCAATATGATGTTCTCTAGCTCCATCCATTTGCCTGCAGATTTCAAGATGTTATTTTTTTCTTACAGCCTCACGTTTAACAGAGCTTAAACTAAATAGCTTTGAGAATTTTTAAATTAACTGAATGATCTTTTTAGAGATAAAAATGAGGTTACAAAAGAGGAGTGAGTATCCAGTAGCTGCCCACTCTCCTGTTGTGTGTCTGTTAAAGTTTATCGTATTCGTGCAGCAGATACTCGGGGGAGGATCTGGCAGGTCACTTCCTCTGCTCACCACTGCCCTCACGCACCCAGTTCACTTGCTGGTAAAATGCTTGGAAGAAAAGTAGGGCTGACTGAAGCCCAAGGTGAGGCGCATGTGCCCAGGTCACATGTGAGCAGTTGCCTGGTGATGGAGCTGCGCACTGGTAGCCTTGAGTGGAGAGCTGGCAGCCCTTTTGTCTGGACCCAGAGACTTACACGCCAGTGTGTTGTAGGTGACAAGATAGAGTCACTTATCCGTGGTAAGATGGGGGAGAAGGTGGGGAGCCTGACAGGCAGCAGAGCGTGTCACACTCAAGTGGCCTGATTGGCTCTGTGTGACAATCTCTGCTCCAGTGAAGTCACAGAACCAACCTGCTTGCCTTCAGGGCTGGGAAAGTAAGAAAACTCTATCCGGTTTTTACGAGTGTTTCTTTCTAGAAATCTGGCTTCGCCACACCCTGACAAAATGTAGTGTTTGGCTCTTTCCACCCTCACTTGGAAAATCCAGAGATGGGGTGAGGGAAGGAGTCAGGATCCAGACTTCACCTGCCTCCCTCAGACCAACCATTTGTTGTTAGTGGCTCTAAGACCGGATGGCTCTGTGAAAGTGACACCATTTGGACTTTAACTGTACTCAGTGTAGTTACAGTAGTGATGGTTAAGATGTGTTTTCCACGCTGGGCCCAGTAGCAACACCCTCTGGAAATTTTATCTTTCTTTTAAAGCAGAGGCTTGCTACACTGTCTGTAACCCTCTTATAGGCTGGCCCCTGACTCTCAGCAGTCATCCTGCCTCTGACTCCCAAGTGTTGGAGTTACAAGTATGTGCCCGAGGAAGGGTTTTAATTATTAAAGACCTTCCTGGGATACATAATGAGTTCAAGGCCAGTCTGGGCTATATAATGAGACATTGTCTTGAAAGACAAATAACAAAACAGGATAATTTTATTAAAATGAAGTATTTCCAGGGCATACACCTCAATAAAAATTGAAATTATGACTCATGGTATAGTGTTTTATTTCTTCCCTACTATCTAAATTGGTATCTTTACCAACTGAGAAACTGTACTGGGGAAATTTCAGGACTAAGGGAAAGCAAATTTGATCAGGTAAACAGTGTTTAGGAAGCCACGCTGCCAATAAGGCAGCCCTGTGAGCAGGTGTATAATGTCACAAAGAATCCCAGCAGGCTACTGTGATACTTCTAGTCCCAGCACGAAGGAGGCAGGAGACAGGAGGATCATACATAGTCTAAGGCTAGCCTCTCCACACAGAGAATTCCAGGCCAGCTAGACTGAGAGTCTCAAATGAGGAAAAGGGTTTTCTAGAGATGGCTCAGTGGTTAAGAGCACTGACTGCTCTTCCAGAGGACCCACATTCAATTTCCAACGCTTTTATGGTGGCTCACTACCATCTATAGCTCCAGGCCCAGGGGATCTGACACCTCCTCTTCTGGCCTCCTCGGGCACTGCTCACACTTCCATGGTGGCTCACAGCCATCTGTAACTCCTGTCCCAGGGGTGTGATCCACCTCCTAGCCTCTTCGGGCAGTGCTCACACTTCCATGGTGGCTCACAGCCTGTAACTCCTGTCCCAGGGGTGTGATCCACCTCCTAGCCTCTTCGGGCAGTGCTCACACATGGTGTGGTGATTTACATGCATGCAAAACATCTTCACACATAAAAATAAATTATTAAAAAGTTTTTTATAAAGGAAAAAAATAGCCAGCCAGTGGTGGCACATGCCTTTGTTCCCAGTACTGGAGAGGTAGAGGCAGGTGGATCTCTGTTGAGTTCAAGGCCAGCCTGGTCTACAGAGTTCCAGGACAGTCAAGGCTGTTTCTATAAATTGTGCATTTACTTCCCGATTTATTTAGGCAAGTATGGCAATTACAATTGTAATCCTCACTGCTCCCGCTGTTTAAAAGCTGATCTACAGGTATGTATGTGTGTGTGTGTGTGTGTGTGTGTGTATATATATATATATATATATATATATATATATGCCAGATGCTACCAATTTATAAAAAAAAAAAAAAGATCTTTGGAAAGCCAAGGAAAACACAGCATCTGTGCATATTTTCTGTCCTCAGAGGAGTGTAGCATGTAGCCATGCTTCCACTGAGAGCCTCCCTGGAGAGCCCTGACCTTCTTCCAGAGTGCTGTCCTGGCTGCGTGGGAGGAGCTCTGTGCTCAGCCACTGATGCTCACCAGCACTGATGCTCACCAGCACTTTGCTGTCTACATTAACCCTTTGTTCACTATACTTGGAACCGTCGCTGGTCGCTGGCACCACCATACTGATACTTTTGTTACCTCCTGTTCTTTATCCCACAAACTTTTCCTTAAAACCCCTGTCTCAGAACAAAACAAACAAGCAAATAAAAACTGGGGAGATAAAGTCTAAAATTCAAAGAGGTGTAAATTAAGAAATATGTTTGCTATATTACAGTATTAACATTTTTACACTGATAACGTACAGTGGAATTCGTCTTATCGTTTGCAGAGAAGGTAGCAATTGTGTTCTGAGGAGCACAGAACAGTTCTTTTACAGCAAGAACTGACTGAGGCAGCCTTCCCTTAGACATACAGTATTTCAGCTACGGAGTAGAACTTCCTTTTGTTGTTCCCTCGAGTGGCAATGGGACTGAGCTCGCTCTGCAGAGGCCACCACGCAGCTCGCTCTACTGTGAAGCCTGGTGTGTCCTTTCACCTTCCATTGGAAACCTTGGAGTGGATCATCATCTGGGACTCCGTCATTTCCCGTGAATTTTCTTCAGGGGCTGACCGCACGGCGCTGGAGAGGGACACACTGACTTGCCGCTTCAGCATCTTCATGACCTTCCTCTTGTAGCCTTTGCATGCAAAGAAGTAGATGAAGGGGTCCATGCAGCAGTTGAAGTTCATCAGGCACACTGTGAAGTGCAGGGAGAGCTGGAAGGAATATCTCTGGCCACATTCGAGGGCAGGGGAGCAGAGTTTCTTAATCATGTGTTGGATGATTGATATGTGGTAAGGTGTGAAACAGAGAACGAACACCACAATGATGAAGATGATTGTATTGAGAGCTTTCTTGTTGACACCCGATTTCTCAGTTAGTGGGTTCTGCTTGGCAGTCTTGAAGAGTTTGCAGCAGATTTGGGAGTAGCAGATGAGAATGATTACAAGGGGCAGCACATAGCCGAGCAGGCACGCCCCAAGCAGGATCCAGGGGAGGGAAGCCGTCTCTTCAAAGTTTGGGTATTCCATACAAGTTGTCCTGCCGATCTCCTCCTTGGACATAGGTCTGATGAGCAGAGGCAGGGTTTGAGCAAATACTAGAATCCAGACAGAGATGCAAACACCCTTCGCGTATTCGATCCTTTTAATCTTGTTGTAGCGCAGAGGGTGCACCACGGCGAAGAAGCGGTCTATGCTCAGGCAGGTCATGAAGTTCACGCCTGCGTAGGTGTTGATGTAGAATACCAGGGCATTTATCCGGCACAGGGCATCACCGACCCTCCAGTCAAAGCCTAGGGCATAGTAGGCTATCCGAGTGGGCAAGGCTGTGGTAAACAGGATGTCAGAAATCACCAAGTTCATTGAATAGAGAGTGGTTGAGTTGATTTTTTTCCTGTTTTGAACAATGACAACCAAGGCCAGCAGGTTTCCCACCAGCCCGATGATGAAGACAAGGCTGTAATGCAGAGGCATCAGTATCCTGGCTGTGCCGTGGTGTGCATAGAGGTCACAGTTATTGCCCTGAGAAGCTGCCAGCGCTGTAGTGAAGTTGTTAGCCATTTCTGTATCCAGCAGGGGTCAGGGTCACTAGGAAGAAAGAAAGCAAGTAGGGAATGTTTAGCTAAAACTATTTAACTCAGCTGTTCAGTCACTTATACATCTACCTTAAACTTCTCAGTGCGTAAACTTTAACTGGAATAAACTGAGAATAAAATTTATGTGTTTACTTTTACAGTTAGTGACTTTGTCAGAGCTCCGGCAAAGGAAATAGAACCATCTAAATAGGTCAGTACATTTTTTGCAACAAGAGAAGTTGCACTAACTTCAGGCAGAATTCCCCCCGTTTCTGAATCATTGTGTGGTTAAGAATAAAATCGTCTAGAGTTCCCCACATTTCAGACAGGCATTAAGCTTGACTTTTAATCTGAATTTAGGTTGCGTTATTTTTTTCTTCCAGGTTGCCAGGAAATGAGATCAGTGGCACATGCTGTGCAGTAGAGCTGGTCTGCCTTCACCTAGCACACGAGAAACACGCTCGGGCCGGGCTCGGAACTGAAAATAGTATCACAACTAAAATAAAATGGTGTAACGCCAGCTATTCTGGAGGCTAACAAGTTTGAGGGCAGCTTGGGTGTCCTTTCTCTAAATGAAAAAAAAAAAGTGAGAAAAAAAATGACTTCCCAAGGGCTGTCCATGCAGCTCAGCCGTGGGCACACTTCCCTTCCTTGTGTGGAGTTGTTGGGATGTGTGGGGCACAGAGACTCGAGCAGCTTCAGATGAGAAATTTTAAGTTGTGGGTATCGTATGTGTTGAACCCAGTGACAGTGACATCATGTGGTGTTTTGTGTCTCAGTAGTAAATAAATGACCACGGCAGTGTATTTACCTGTTTTTTAACGTCTGGGTTCTGTGAGGCGTCTGATGGATATTCCACAGTTTTCCAAAGTGTTGGATCAACATTCCTCAGTACTCCAGTGTGGTAATGCATAATTTAAGTAGCTACTCCCTCACTACACATTTGCATTGTTTAATTTTTTTTTCTTGGTCATAAATAATGCCAAGACAAATTTCAAGTCCTGAACTGGAAATCTAAGAATTCCACATAAAAGAGTGAACACCAATGAAAATAGGAACACTGAGCCATAAATTCTGTGATTATATTTAAAGAGAATAATCACTTCTTTGTAGATTGTCTTTATAAATTTCAATATATATGTATGTATATAAACCCCAGTATTAAGGGAGCCTTTGGGATGTCTCTTCCGCTGCTGCTGTGTGTTCAAGGGGAAGTTGTCTGTCAGGACTGATTGGAATCACTGGCTCCAGATCTACTCCTGTGCCTACTACTACGCTGCTTGGTGGACGGGGTCTCTGTTCTTCTCTGACAGCCTGAGAAGAGGGATGGCCACTGGCCCCGAGCTCTGTGGTGGTGTGTGGTGCTGACAGATGAGCCCTCACAGGCTACAAATAAAACCTAAAGCACAGCCAAGCAGAGTAAGAAACAGTGAGGTGGGAGGAGAGGATGGGGACGGAAAACAGAAGATGCAGAAGTAGAAAAGTTCTAACCAGTCTCAGTGGATTGAACTTGTCTGTTAAAGGGAACACTACCACTTTGGAGCTTTCAAAGACGATGTAATTCAGAGTCATATAGAAAGGTGCAGAATAAAGCTGTAGGGGAATCCACACCAGCCAGATCTACTGCGGACGGGTGGACTGCAATAGAACCACAGGAAAAGGGACTCAAGGCAGCTTTGATACCGATGGCTAAAACAGTATTACTGCCAAAGTTAATAATAGGTTTTGTGCAGTGGTGGCGCACACCTTTAATCCCAGCACTTGGGAGCAGAGGCAGGTGGATCTCTTGAGTTCAAGGCCAACCTGGTCTACAGAGTAAGTTCCAGGATAACCAACATCAAGAGAGCCAGACACAAACAAACAAAGAGAACAGTCCACAGAGGATATAAGAATAATTCTGAAATGTGCCTAAGCTATCAAAATTTGATGTGGTTTAAAGGAAAGACTAACAAGTCCACAATCATAATGGGCAGTTGTGTGTATATGAATAATACCCTAGAGAAGAAAATGAAACGCCTTGAAGATTTGCTCAGCAAGGTTTAAAAGTTAGCAGAATGTGTGTGGAAGGCATAAGCGTGTCTGAAGCTCAACCATAGACTAGGTCGCCAGAAGATTCTCAAGATGGCAAGAAATTCATCACTGAGCTCGTCACACAGCCTGACTATAGTACAGCTAACGTAGAAACCAACGGTAAAGCAGTGAAGAATGAACTTGGAAATGAAGACCTTTGAGTTAAAGAAGGCACCACTCTGGAAGTTTTTGAGATGCTTAAAATGAAATAAAAATAAAGATTGAAAAATAGTTGTTACCCGTACAGCTTAAGAAGCAGGAGAACCAAATTTGTCCAGCAAAATCGGAAGTAAATAAAAAGACAACTGTGAAATTAGTGAAATCAAAACCAACGCAACAAAGACAGATATGGCTTCATGGTTTGTGTAGGAATAAAAACTCAGAGGCTCTTGCCTTGGAAGTGAAAGAAATAAAAGTGGGAACCACCCATTTCTGTGGGAAGGCTTTCTCTGCCGTGTTCAGGACACAAGGCTGGGCACAGGGGAGTGCGGCCTCTAGACAAGGCGGTCGCTGAGGAGCGGGCACCAGTAACTCCGACCAGAGTTTCTTCCCCTGAAAATTTCATCTACCATTTTTGAGGAGTTCTCTAAAGCTACTTCCTGGAATCTGATCTTAAAAAAATGCTCATGGGGGAAAATGTGTGTGGAGTTGCCAAATCTCCACACTAACCACGACTATAAAGATGAGGAGAGGCACCGCAGCAGAAGAGAGGGACGAGATGCCATCACGTGTCCGCTGCTAATGATTCCTGTGTTCTCGTGCCTGGTCCACCTTAAAGTGGGAGTGGTTTCAGAAGCTCAGGTGCAGGAGCCATCAGCTCAGCAGTAACTACAACACAGACTCTCGTAGTGGCTTGCAGGATGTCCCATGGTTCGGCCATGCTGTGGGGTGTGACTCTTTCTCAACAGGAAGTTATGTTAAGGAAACCTGATCACACGGCATGCTACTCTGGGGAGGAAAGCGTACACAAACGCACATGTGCACATACGCACACACAAGAGAAAGAGGCCTGCTTAGATAGTATGTATGCCGGTAAATAACACTGTGGGAGTGATCTGGGGACTTGAGTCCATACAGCATCCATCCGGAACACTGAGCATGGATTGACTGAAGTGAGGTAATGGTTTTGTTTCACTGGAGGAAGAAATGTTACTTAGGTCTTCTTGCAAGAACCTCATCGCCCGACACTCTTCAGACATGGCTCCTGCTTACTCGCTGTGCCTACCTTTGAACTGTGTCTGGCAGGAACCTCCTATGGACCTGAGGGTTAAAGGCCATGCTGGGTCCTGCTCCATGGTTCTCTGACCAGTCCTTTGTAGGGGCGGCTATCTCATGAGCCGTTAAAGAACTGAGACATTGTGGTTTCAGAGTTCAGACTGCAACATGACGCATGTGGTCAGCTTCCCTAGGGTAGGTGGGGCACTCTTCCTAAGAGCAGGGGACGCCAGCCTCGAGGCTACATTATACCAGATCCTGGGAATGTAGAAATGATACCTTTTTCTATTAGAGGGTCCAGAATTGAAGGCTAGATACCGTGCGTGGATGATCTTTTGGTCTCACGAGGTCCTAGCTCACACTGCTTGCTGTCCTTCTCACACATGCCAGTGTCCTGTGTGCTGTTGTGTTTAGTCTGCCTGCACTGGTCTCAAATTGGCCTTTTCAAAGTATAGCTTACATTTTAGTGCTCTTTATTTTTCATTTTAATTATGATTAGGCAGCAGCTTCTGACATGTTTAGAATATTTATGTATGCACACATACATAAACCTATATACGTGTGTGTGTGTGTTAAACCTGAAAGTACTGTAATATGTCACTGTAGTAGGGAAAAGCCCTCAGGGTGTGTCCTAAATCTGTTTCCTTTAGAACACTAATATTTATAAGAATGATAGTTTCGGTACAATGCTTTTGATGAATTGTATACTTGGCTCCACATTCCAAATACTAAAGGACAACAATCAAGACGCTGATGTCTTCCCCAAGGGCATAGACAGTAACTGAGGTGCATAAAATGGGATTTTTCTTCAGGGTTGACCCTTGTGAGGAACAGCCATTCCTGACATTTTATATCTGTCCTTTAATTCTAGACCCTCTAATATAAAAAAGGAATCATTTCTGCATTCCCGGGACCTAGCACACACAGACAAAGCATCAAACATTGAAAGCACTATTTTCTGTCCTTTAATTCTAGACCCTCTAATATAAAAAAGGAATCATTTCTGCATTCGCGGGATCTAGCACACACAGACAAAGCATCAAACATTGAAAGCACTATTTGCTAAAAGTATGAAATGAACAAAAGGGCGTGTCTGCCTCCCAGCTCCCCTCCTCCCGAGGATGGACACCTGGAGGCCAACTTGTTCTTCTCTTATTTTCTTGCTAAGAGCAGAGACGGTTTGTTCTAACATGACGTCTGCTCCTTTAGCTCCCACTGTCCTCGTGTGTGTGAAACCGTTTCTTCTGCAGACTACTTTCCAGATCGTTCCGGGGTGTACTTGAAAGTGTGTCTATCTGTGTCTGTTTGTAAAACTTATTTCTTTGCCTGTAGAGTTGCCAACATTTCTTGAGATATTATCATTTCATTTTTGCAGAACCAGACATGTTGACATGAAATGACCATTTTTTTTTTCTTCCCACAGAAAGGAGGGAAACATCCCCCCAAAGCTCGTTGATTAGTGTTTAAGAAAATTGCCTAAGCTCTGATACAATTTGTACTCAGGAAACATTTACTCTGAGAACCTACATGAAGGCATTTGTGAAGTTTCAAAGGCTACATAGACTTCTGCTAGCCTAACTCATTTGCTTGGGGAATTAGAGGGCTCTTCTTACTCATGACAGAAACAGAACAAAACCTTCATCACAGTCAAAGATTTGGTTCATGCTAAAGTAATAGCTTTGGGGTTCTAAGGTGTTTGTGTGTCACCATTATCTGAGAATTATCAAT